AGAAGTTTTCTCCTCTCCTTGCATATGACACCAATAACTCTTATCAAAGAAACATTCTTGATCATTTCATCCTCTCAGTGCATTCTTTGTCTTTTCTTAAATAGCTTAGAGATTGGTGATGGTCTAATGTTGAAAGAATTAGGTTTTGATCTCACTTATTACAAATTCTACATAGATGGTTCTACACAGAATAGGGGATGGGGTAATTGTCATTTTTATTTTGTTCTCATCTATTAAGGTCACTGTCCAAACTCTAAGACAACATGAAAGCACATTTAACATCCTGCTACATTCCTCAAGGTCCTATTAACATATATAGATTAAGGCTTGTGGACAGAACCACAGAGTTTTACACGAACTACAGAGTTTTACTGTAAGAACTCATGTGACCTAAGATAGATCCCCCCTCTATGCCTTCCAGCCTAAAGGTTTATTGGAAAGATAAAGGGGACAGAGGCTTAGGAAACAAGCAGTTAGACAATGGGGACTGACTTCTCTCCTTCAAGCCCAAAATCTGGAGGTGGGGGTAATAGGTGAGATGATGACATTAGAAGAGGTGAAGAGAAAGCCCAAAGTAGAGGGCATGTGCCAAACTCCCTGTTTAGAACTCTAGGAGAAAACATCCACACAAGGAGGAAACTCAACATAAAAATAAGAGCTTGGGGGCCTCCCTGGTGGCGCAGTGGTTGAGAGTCCGCCTGCCGATGCAGGGGATACGGGTTCGTGCCCCGGTCCGGGAGGATCCCGCGTGCTGCGGAGCGGCTGGGCCCGGGAGCCATGGGCGCTGAGCTTGCGCGTCCGGCAACGGGAGAGGCCACGACAGTGAGAGGCCCACATATCGCAAAAAAAAAAAAAAAAAAAAAAAAAAAATAAGAGCTTGGGATACTCAGGCAGAGAGGAGGCCTCAGCCCTCCTAAGAGTCCCTTAATTCCTGTACACTGTAAACTAGTTCTCAAGGTTCCACATACCAAAGGCAATGCAGAGAAGGTGGTCAAATTTAGAACCAAAATACCTGGCATAGGGCTGTTGTGTCTAGGTGAATTTATCCCGAAGGTTGTAGAAAGGCAACTAAGTCAAAGTCTGGATGGAGGACTTCAATGAGACTTAAGGGTTTGGGGTGGCAATAAAAGCTAAGGTGAGGAAAAATCAGCAATGGAGGACTTCAGGCCCAAAATACAAATGTAAGTTCATCAATGACTTTATCAGTAGAGTCCAGCCCAGGTATGAACTAGTCTTGAAACCTGCAGCACAAATCAGTAAAAATTCAGAGACAACTTGTGGATCCCAGACACCCTCAAGACCCAACTTCACCCCTCCCCCACCTCTGGCCTATACACCTATATTTAGGGTAACAATTTGTCCAAACTGGGACCTTTCTGAGAGTAAAACGAAGCTCTATAAAAGATTATGTGACAACAGCAGGCACACACTGGGACTGTCCCAGGCAAATCAAGAGGTATGATCACCCTCAGGAATATGGAGTGGGAGAAAATATGAAAGACTCAGCTTCTACCCAAAAGAGACTTTTACCTGGAAGTAACTGGATGGCATTAATAACTTTAACTCATCATTTCCCTGCTAAACAGGGGAGAAAGGTGATCAAAGCCCATGAGAAGTTTAGATCAGTTATTTAAAAAAATAAATCAATAAAGCTATATTTTCTTAATAATTTAGCCTTAGAATTTTCGCTGTTGTTCACCAAGGAAGAATAATTCACCCAAGAATAACAGTCATTGATTTTCTTTTCTTCAGAAAGTTCTCATCATTTAGATGCAAGCATAACTATAAGGAGCCTATCACACTAAAACTATTCTTTTCTCACTCTACACACTTTCCCAAGGGAACAGCTATGCTTTCAGCCCAGAACCTTTCCCTTGCTTTCCAGGCTGGGTTATGCAAATGCCTGCTAGATATCTCTACTTCAAAGTGCTGTAGGTATTTCAGTGTTTTCTAGACCTGTCACTCCAACTCACTCTTGCTCTTCTATTTGTGTTCCTTCACGTAGTGAATGAGCCATCATTCATCCTGTTTCCTAAGTCAGAGGGCTGAGGGTCATCATGGACTCCATCTTCCGCTCTTAACCAACCAATCATTAACAACAGTTGATTATCACTCTTGAATTGTTCTCAAGTTTTCCTTCTAAGCAATCCTTGCCACTAAAGTTCAGGTCCTAATCATGCCTCACTTGGAATGCCACAATAGTCATCCCTTCAATCTAATCACTCCTAATCCATCTTCTTTGCTGCAAGAGGGATTGCACAAGACAGAAATATGATGCATATGTTTGCGAAGAGGTAGGATGATTGGCAAGAATTTTGGTTGGGTAATTAAAAATTCCACAGAAATTTTTGCTCAGCAGTTTATCAGTCCTTGCCCCCACACACTCAGCAACACAAAGTACCAATACTATAGATCCTCATCAAAGAAGACCACATTGTACTGTCTACCATTTAATTCTGGTAAAAAAAAAATCTGGTTGTATCTATATCGCCTATTAAAAATCATATCTCCTTGGTTTCCTTGGTCCTAACTGTCTTTTTTAACAGATTTATTGATATAATTCACATACCATATAATTTACCAATTTAGAGTGTGTAATTCAATGGTTTTTAGTATATTCAGAGAGTTGTGCAACCACCATCACAGTCAATTTTAGAACATTTTCATCACCCCAAAAAGAAACCCTATACCCACTAGCAGTCAATTCTCATTTCTTCCCAAACCCGCAAGTCTTAGGCAATCATTAATCTGCTTTCTGTCTCTATAGATTTGTCTATTCTTGCTATCTTATATGAATGAAACCATAAAATATGTGGTCTTGTATGACTGGCTTCTTTCAGTTAGCATAATATTTACAGGGTTCATCCATGTTTAGTGCATATCAGAATTGCACTTCTTTTTGCTGTTGAATAACATCCCATTACGGATATACCATATTTTATTTATCTATTCATCAGTAGATGGATATTTGGATTGTTTCTACTTTTTGGCTGTTATGAATAAACTTGCTGTGAACATTCATGTTCAAGTTTTTGTGTACACATAGTTTTCATTTCTCTTAGGTATGCAAAACTAGGACTGAATTGCTGGGTCACATTTGGAGGAGCTGCCAAACTATTTTCCAAAGCACCTTCGCTATTTAAAATTCTCATCAGCCATGTATGAGAGTCCCAACTTCTCCACATCCAAGACAATACTTGTTATCTGTCTCTTTGATTATAACCATCCCAGTGGGTGTGAAGTGGTATCTCAATGAAGTTGATTTGCATTTCCCGAATGGATAATGATACTAAGTATCTTTTCATGTGCTTATTGGCCATTTGTTTATCTTCTATGGAGAAATGCCTGTTCAGATGCTTTGTCCATTTTTTTTTTTTTAACTTTTTTTTTTTTTTTTTTTTTCCGAGTACGCGGGCCTCTCACTGTCGCGGCCCCTCCCGCCGTGGAGCACAGGCTCCGGACGCGCAGGCCCAGCGGCCACGGCCCACGGGCCCAGCCGCTCCGCGGCATGCGGGATCCCCCCGGACCGGGGCGCGAACCCGCGTCCCCCGCATCGGCAGGCGGACTCGCAACCACTGTGCCACCAGGGAAGCCCTGTCCATTTTTAAATCAGGTTATTTGTCCTTTTATTGTTGAGTTGTAAGAGTTCTTTACATACTCTGCATACAATTCCCTTATTAGGTATATGATTTGCAAATATTTTCTCCCATTGTGTATACTGTCTTTTCACTTTCATGATGGTGTCTCCTGACTTTGTTTTTAAACTTGTATGAATTTTGTGTAAGTTCTTTCAACCTTTGAAGATTAGGTGTTAAAAAAATCATTATATTTTCAGTCCTACTGAAAATCTTTCATAGGCTCTCATCATATTCAGGAAAAAATAAAAATACCAGCTCTTAAGGTATTCATGATCCAGAATGTGACCACCTCCTTGAACATCTCTCTCACATACCTTACCCTTCAGTCTACATGCCCTAAGCCAAACTCATCTGCCCCTGGTAATATGTTTCTCCTCAGTCTTCCCCATCTTAATAAATGGCAACTCCATCCTTCCAGTTGCTCAAGCCAAAACCACGGTGTTAGCCTTGACTACTTTCATACTTCACCACTCAGTCCTTCAGTGGATCCTCTTAGTTCTGCTTTCAAAATATATCCAAAATCTTACCTCTCACTATCTCCCCTCTTGCTACTCTGGTCCATACTCCAATATTTCTTGCCCAGATTAGGGCAGTAGTCTCCTAACTATAATTTCCCTAATTCCTTGCCTCATCATAGTCTATTCTCAACACAGCAGCTAGCATGATTCTTTTAAAACATAAGTCATATCATATCATCCTTCTAAACCCTTCAAAGTCCTTCCAATTCACTTATATTTGACTAAAGTGCCTTATATGATCCGGCCTCTTGCTTCTTCTCTCACTTTATCTCTTACCTCACTCCTCCTCCCTCACTTCACACCAGGAGCCCAGGCCTTCTTGCCTCAGGGCATGGCTCCAGCTATTCCCTCTACCTGGAATGCTCTTTTCTCCAATGAGTTACACAGCTTGCTCTGTCTCCTTCTTTAGGTCTCTGCTCAAATGCTGCCTTTTCAATGGTGAGTCTCGGACCACACCACTTAAAAGAGCAAATCTCTATCCCAATACTCCCTAGTCCCCTATTTTATTTTTCTCCATAGCATTCATTACCATATAGCATGGTATAAATTTACTTGCTTATTTATTTATTGTCCATCTCCTCCAACTAGAATGTGGACTCAAAGAAGGCAGAGATTTTGTTTTTAACCAATTTTGTTCACTACAGCAATTAGATAGATAGACAGACAGATGGATAGTTAGCAAATATACCTCCAGCAATCAGAACAGTTCTGGTATACAGTGAGTCCTCAACAAATATTGAATAAACAAACATCTGAATTTGTGGGTTACCAATCATATTTGCTGTATAACTATTAGTACACAAAGTTTTAAAAGCGCAACAACTTTAAAAATGTTAGTTCTTACACTTTCCTATGGCATTTCTGATAGTCTTCTGAAGAGGTACCTAAGAAAGGAAAAAAACAATCTATTAGAAATATAATTCAGGGGAGGGTAACCAAGATGACAGAATAGGAGAATGTGGAACTCACCTCCCACAGCAAACACATCAAAAATACGTATACATGTAGAACAATTCTCATGGAAAACTAACTGGAAACTGGCAGAAAAAACTCCTATACAACCAAAGCTGTGAGACAGATCTCCACATAACCAGGTGAGATGGAAGAAAATGGCACTGGTTCAGGACTTGTGCCCCTGGGAGAGATCTGTAAGGAAGAAAAGGTCCACATGGGTGGACCCTTGCCCTGGAGAGCAAGCAAGTCAAGCCCAACCTGGACATCACAGTCCTTGGGTCCTGTGCACAGGAGACAAGTGCCCTGGCCTGCTGGGAAATCTGCTGAGACAGACAGAAGGGCTGAAAAAGCCTAGACTCTACCTTAAGGAGTACACACATTCTGGCTTGCTAACAATCAGGGCAAAGAGAACCTCATGTCACTTCTCAACCCAAAGGGGCAAGTACCCCAGCCCCACTCACTCCACACTATAGCCTGGTGTAAGTTCTGGGAAAAGACTTCATCTAGCTACCCAGAGACAGACCAGGGTGCCTGGGGTGTGATCCGGGTTGAGCTGTGGTAGGTACTGTCAGCGTGTACATAGGGTGGCATCAAAAGAGTGTGTAGTGGTTAAGCCCTGAACTTCGAGCACATAGGCCCTGGGAGAGGGCTCCATCTAGCTACGCAGAGACCACCAAGAGGGCCTGGAGTGTGATCTGGGTGGAGCCGTGGAGGCCATTGTCAGCACGCTCAGGAATACGTGGTGGTTCGGCTCCCAGTGAGTGTACCCTGGCTCCACCTATTCCACACCACACCTTAGTGGTAGATCTGAAGCAGGCAGGTCTTGGGAGAGGTCTGCTACAGAGGCAGCCCAGATCTCAGGAGGAAGCACAGCCACCTCAGTTCCTATATCCACAATGCCCTGACCACCAGCCACAGCCTATGTCACACCACAGCCTTGCACTATATCTGGGACAAATACAACAGAGAAAGGGACGCAAACTTAAGCAGCTGCTGAGCAGAATCACAGATGCCTACACAGGTGGCACACAGGTCCTCTGTGACTGAACAAGCCTCACTTGCTTTGGGACAGGGGACAGACTCAAGTGCAACAGAGCCTGATCAGACCCAACCCTCAGAGCTTCTAATCCAACAACTGGGGAGCAGACCTGCCTCTGACAAAGTGGTGACAGCCAGTGAGCAGAGAGGAAGCCCTGCCTCACATTCTGCATAGGCTCTAGATACTCTAGCATGAACCACACCCCCTATCAAGGGGATAACAGCCAGAAAAACCTGAGGAAGGACATGGCTGGGGTCTATACCAAAACCAGCCTTTGCACCAAAACATTGGACACACACAGCCTGCACCAGGATGCTCCCACATAAAAACACCCTTTCAAGACCATAGTAGATAACTGTTTCTCTTAAATTAATAGAGACAAAGTTAAGTAAAATGAAAAGTCAGAGGAACTACTCCAAATTAAAAGAACAACGATCCTCTGTAAGAAAAAAGCAATGAAACTGAGTTCACCAGTCTACTAGAGCTTGAACTCAAAAAGGTGGTAATAAAAAGGCTAACATAATTAAGAAAGATTATTGATAGAAATGCAGATCACTGTAACAAGGAACTAGAAATTTAAAAAATGAACCAATCAAAAATGGACAATTCAATTACCAAGATAAAAACCAATCTAGAAGCAATGAATAGCAAACTAAATGACACAGTAGAACAAATAAGTGATCTGGAAGATAGAATAATAGAAATCATCCAATCAGAACAGCAGATAAGCAACAGGGGTGCGGAGGGCAAAGCGGAGAGATTCCTGCACAAAGGATCGGTGCCAACAGGCACTCACCAGCCCTAGAGGCTTGTCTGCTCACCCGCTGGGGGGGGCGGGGGGCTGGGAGCTGAGTCGGCTACGGCTACGGTCAGAGCGCAGGGAGAGGACTGGGGCGTGAACAAAGCCTGAAGTGGTTAGTGCACCACAGTAGCCGGGAGGGAGTCTGGGAAAAAGTCTGGACCTGCCAAAGAGGCAAGAGACTTTTTCTTCCCTCTTTGTTTCCTGGTGCGTGAGGAGAAGGGATTAAGAGCGCTGCTTAAAGGAGCTCCAGAGACAGGCGCAAGCTGCGGCTATCAGCGCGGACCCCAGAGACGGGCATGAGATGCTAAGGCTGCTGCTGCCACCACCAAGAAGCCTGTGTGCAAGCACAGGTCACTCTCCACACCTCCCCTCCCGGGAGCCTGTGCAGCCCACCACTGCCAGGGTCCCGTGATCCAGGGACAACTTCCCCGGGAGAACGCACGGCGTGCCTCAGGCTGCTGCAACGTCACGCTGGTCTCTGCCGCCGCAGGCTCGCCCCGCATCTGTACCCCACCCTCCGCCAGGCCTGAGTGAGCCAGAGCCCCCGAATCAGCGGCTCTTTTAACCCCGTCCTGCCTGAGTGAAGAACAGACACCCTCCGGCGACCTACACGCAGAGGCGGGGCCAAATCCAAAGCTGAACCCCAGGAGCTGTGCGAACAAAGAGGAGAAAGGGAAATCTCTCCCAGCAGTCTCAGGAGCAGCGGATTAAATCTCCACAATCAACTTGAGGTACCCTGCATTGGTGGAATACATAAATAGACAGCGAATCATCCCAAATTGAGGAAGTGGACTTTGAGAGCAAGATTTATTATTTTTTCCCCTTTTCCTCTTTTTGTGAGTATGTATGTGTATGCTTCTGTGTGAGATTTTGTCTGTATGGCTTTGCTTTCACCATTTGTCATAGGGTTCTGTCCGTCCATTTTTTGTTTTTTACTTTTTAAAAAAATTTTTTCTTAATAATTATTTTTTATTTTAATAAATTTATTTTAATTTATCTTACTCTATTTTATTTTATTTTATCCTCTTTCTTTCTTTCTTTCTACTTTTTCTGCCATTTATTCTGAGCCTTCTGGATGAAAGGCTCTTGGTGCTGCAGCCAGGAGTCAGTGCTGTGCCTCTGAGGTGGGAAAGCCAACTTCGGGGCACTGGTCCGCAAGAGAACTCACAGTTCCACGTAATATCAAATGGCGAAAATCTCCCAGAGATCTCCATCTCAACACCAACACCCAGCTTCACTCAATGACCAGCAAGCTACAATGCTGGACACCCTATGCCAAACAACTAGCAAGACAGGAACACAACCCCACCCATTAGCAGAGAGGCTGCCTAAAATCAAAATAAGGCAACAGACACCCCAAAACACACCACCAGACGTGGACCTGCCCACCAGAAAGACAAGATCCAGCCTCATCCACGAGAGCACAGGCACTAGTCCCCTCAACCAGGAAGCTTACACAACTCTCTGAACCAACTTTAGCCACTGGGGACAGACACCAAAAACAAGGGAAACTATGAACCTGCAGCCTGCAAAAAGGAGACCCCAAACACAGTAAGATAAGCAAAATGAGAAGACAGGAAAACCCACAGCAGATGAAGGAGCAAGATAAAAACTCACCAGACCTAACAAATGAAGAGGAAATAGGCAGTCTACCTGAAAAAGAATTCAGAATAATGACAGTAAAGATGATCGAAAATCCTGGAAATAGAATACAGAAAATTCAAGAAACATTTAACAAGGACCTAGAAGAACTAAAGAGGAAACAAGCAACGATGAACAACACAATAAATGAAATTAAAAATACTCTAGAAGGGATCAATAGCAGAATAACTGAGGCAGAAGAACAGATAAGTGACCTGGAAGGTAAAACAGCAGAAATAGCTACTGCAGAGCAGAATAAAGAAAAAAGAATGAAAAGAATTGAGGACAGCCTCAGAGACCTCTGGGACAACATTAAATGCACCAACATTCGAATTATAGGGGTCCCAGAAGAAGAAGAGAAAAAGAAAGGGACTGAGAAAATACGTGAAGAGATTACAGTTGAAAACTTCCCTAATATGGGAAAGGAAATAGTTAATCAAGTCCAGGAAGCACAGAGAGTCCCATACAGGATAAATCCAAGGAGAAACACGCCAAGACACATACTAATCAAACTGTCAAAAATTAAATACAAAGAAAACATATTAAAAGCAGCAAGGGAAAAACAACAAATAACGCACAAGGGAATCCCCATAAGGTTAACAGCTAATCTTTCAGCAGAAACTCTGCAAGCCAGAAGAGACTGTCAGGATATATTTAAAGTGATGAAGGGGAAAACCCTGCAACCAAGATTACTCTACCCAGCAAGGATATCAGTCAGATTTGATGGAGAAATTAAAACCTTTACAGACAATCGAAAGCTGAGAGAGTTCAGCACCACCAAACCAGCTTTACAACAAATGCTAAAGGAACTTCTCTAGACAAAAACACAAGAGAAGGAAAAGACCTACAATAACAAACCCAAAACAATTAAGAAAATGGGAATAGGAACATACATATCGATAATTACCATAAATGTAAATGGATTAAATGCTCCCACCAAAAGACACAGATTGGCTGAATGGATACAAAAACAAGACCCATATATATGCTGTCTACAAGAGACCCACTTCAGACCTAGGGACACATACAGACTGAAAGTGAGGGGAAGGAAAAAGATATTCCATGCAAATGGAAACCAAAAGAAAGCTGGGGTAGCAATTATCATATCAAACAAAATAGACTTTAAAATAAAAACTATTTGAAGAGACAAAGAAGGCCACTACATAATGATCAAAGGATCGATCCAAGAAGAAGATATAACTATTGGGAATATTTATGCACCCAACATAGGAGCACCTCAATACATAAGGCAAATACTAACAGCCATAAAAGGGGAAATCGACAGTAACACATTCATAGTAGGGGACTTTAACACCCCACTTTCACCAATGGACAGATCATCCAAAACGAAAATAAATAAGGAAACACAAGCTTTAAATGATACATTAAACAAGATGGACTTAATTGATATTTATAGGACATTCCATCCAAAAACAACAGAATACCCTTTCTTCTCAAGTGCTCATGGAACATTCTCCAGGATAGATCATATCTTGGGTCACAAATCAAGCCTTGGTAAATTTAAGAAAATTGAAATTGTATCAAGTATCTTTTCCGACCACAATGCTATGAGACTAGATATCAATTACAGGAAAAGATCTGTAAAAAATACAAACACATGGAGGCTAAACAATACACTACTTAATAACGAAGTGATCACTGAAGAAATCAAAGAGGAAATCAAAAAATACCTAGAAACAAATGACAATGGAGACATGACAACCCAAAACCTATGGGATGCAGCAAAAGCAGTTCTAAGAGGGAAGTTTATAGCAATACAGTCCTACCTTAAGAAACAGTAAACATCTCGAATAAACAACCTAACCTTGCACCTAAAGCAACTACAGAAAGAAGAACAAAAAAACCCCAAAGTTAGCAGAAGGAAAGAAATCATAAAGATCAGATCAGAAATAAATGAGAAAGAAATGAAGGAAACAATAGCAAAGATCAATAAAACTAAAAGCTGGTTTTTTGAGAAGATAAACAAAGTTGATAAACCATTAGCCAGACTCATCAAGAAAAAAAGGAAGACTCAAATCAACAGAATTAGAAATGAAAAAGAAGAAGTAACAACTGACACAGCAGAAATACAAAGGCTCAGGAGAGATTACTACAAGCAACTCTATGCCAATAAAATGGACAACCTGGAAGAAATGGACAAATTCTTAGAAATGCACAACCTACCAAGACTGAATCAGGAAGAAATAGAAAATATGAACAGACCAAACACAAGCAATGAAATTGAAACTGTGATTAAAAATCTTCCAACAAACAAAAGCCCAGGACCAGATGGCTTCACAGGCGAATTCTATCAAACATTTAGAGAAGAGCTAACACCTATCCTTCTCAAACTCTTCCAAAATATAGCAGAGGGAGGAACACTCCCAAACTCATTCTACGAGGCCACCATCACCTTGATACCAAAACCAGACAAGGATGTCACAAAGAAAGAAAACTACAGGCCAATATCACTGATGAACATAGATGCAAAAATCCTCAACAAAATACTAGCAAACAGAATCCAACAGCACATTAAAAGGATCATACACCATGATCAAGTGGGGTTTATTCCAGGAATGCAAGGATTCTTCAATATACGCAAATCTATCAATGTGATTAACCATATTAACAAATTGAAGGAGAAAAACCATATGATCATCTCAATAGATGCAGAGAAAGCTTTGACAAAATTCAACACCAATTTATGATAAAAACCTTGCAGAAAGAAGGCATAGAGGGAACTTTCCTCAACATAATAAAGGCCATATATGACAAACCCACAGCCAGCATCATCCTCAATGGTGAAAACCTGAAAGCATTTCCACTAAGATCATGAACAAGACAAGGTTGCCTACTCTCACCATTCTTATTCAACATAGTTTTGGAAGTTTTAGCCACAGCAATCAGAGAAGAAAAGGAAATAAAGGAATCCAAATCGGAAAAGAAGTAAAGCTGTCACTGTTTGCAGATGATATGATACTATACACAGAGAATCCTAAAGATGCTACCAGAAAACTACTAGAGTTAATCAATGAATTTGGTAAAGTAGCAGGATACAAGATTAATGCACAGAGATCTCTGGCATTCCTATACACTAATGATTAAAAATCTGAATGTGAAATCAAGAAAACACTCCCATTTACTATTGCAATAAAAAGAATCAAATACCTAGGAATAAACCTACCTAAGGAGACAAAAGACCTGTAGGCAGAAAATTATAAGACACTGATGAAAGAAATTAAAGATGATACAGACAGATGGAGAGATATACCATTTTCTTGGACTGGAAGAATAAACACTGTGAAAATGACTCTACTACCCAAAGCAATCTACAGATTCAATGCAATCCCTATCAAACTACCATTGGCATTTTTCGCAGAACTAGAGCAAAACATTTCACAACCTGTATGGAAACGCAAAAGACCCCGAATAGTCAAAGCAATCTTGAGAACGAAAAACAGAGCTGGAGGAATCAGGCTCCCTGACTTCAGACTATACTACAAAGCTGCAGTAATCAAGACAGCATGGTACTGGTACAAAAACAGAAATATACATCAATGGAACAGGATAGAAAGCCCAGAGATAAACCAAGCACATATGGTCACCTTATCTTTGATAAAGAAGGCAGGAATGTACAGTGGAGAAAGGACATCCTCTTTAATAAGTGGTACTGGGAAAACTGGACAGGTACATGTAAAAGTATGAGATTAGAACACTCCCTAACATCATACACAAAAATAAGCTCAAAATGGATTAAAGACCTAAAAGTAAGGCCAGAAACTATCAAATTCTTAGAGGAAAACATAGGCAGAACACTCTGTGACATAAATCATAGCAAGATCCTTTTTGACCAACCTCCTAGAGAAATGGAAATAAAAACAAAAATAAACAAATGGGACCTAATGAAACTGCAAAGTTTTTGCACAGCAAAGGAAACCATAAACAAGACCAAAAGACAACCCTCAGAATGGGAGAAAATATTTGCAAATGAAGCAACTGACAAAGGATTAATCTCAAAAATTTACAAGCAGCTCATGCAGCTCAATAACAAAAAATCAAACAACCCAATCCAAAAATGGGCAGAAGACCTAAATAGACATTTCTCCAAAGAAGATATATAGACTGCCAACAAACACATGAAGGATTGCTCAACATCATTAGTCATTAGAGAAATGCAAATCAATACTACAATGAGATATCACTTCACACCAGTCAGAATGGCCATCAACAAAAAATCTACAAACAATAAATGCTGGAGAGGGTGTGGAGAAAAGGGAACCCTCTTGCACTGTTGGTGGGAATGTAAATTGATACAGCCACTATGGAGAACAGTATGGAGTTTCCTTAAAAAACTACAAATAGAACTACCATATGACCCAGCAATCCCACTACTGGGCATATACCCTGAGAAAACCATAATCCAAAAAGAGTCATGTACCAAAATGTTAATCGCAGCTCTATTTACAATAGCCACGAGATGGAAACAACCTAAGTGCCCATCATCAGAAGAATGGATAAAGAAGATGTGGCACATATATACAATGGAATATTACTCAGCCATAAAAAGAAAGGAAATTGAGTTATCTGTAGTGAGCTGGATGGACCTAGAGTCTGTCATACAGAGTTAAGTAAGTCAGAAATAGAAAGACAAATACCGTATGCTAACACATATATATATGGAATCTAAGAAAAAAAATGTCATGAAGAACCTAGGGGTAAGACAGGAATAAAGACACAGACCTACTAGAGAACGGACTTGAGGATATGGGGAGGGGGAAAGGTAAGCTGTCACAAAGTGAGAGAGAGGCATGGACATATAAACACTACCAAACGTAAGGTAGATAGCTAGTGGGAAGCAGCCGCATAGTACAGAGAGATCAGCTCGGTGCTTTGTGACCGCCTGGAGGGGTGGGATAGGGAGGGTGGGAGGGAGGGAGACGTAAGAGGGAAGAGATATGGGAACATATATATATGTATAACTGATTCACTTTGTTATAAAGCAGAAACTAACACACCATTGTAAAGCAATTATACTCCAATAAAGATTAAAAAAAAAAAAGAAAATCACCATGAGATGAACATCACAGTAAGAACTGTGGCAATCAAGTTCTTCTGATGAATGGTAATATGAGTGAATGAAAGTTTGAGGAGAAACAGGACTTATGGAGTCTCAAACTATCTTTTTCTAGGTATTTATTAACTACGGAGGGAAACTAGTAACTTCACAGTGGAGAGAACCAGCAGATACCACCTTAATTAAGTGAAGTTTAACATCACCAATAATAAGATACATGTACTGACATTAAGAATTCCTTAATACATCATTTCTGTGGTGTTCTTATCAAAAATTGCATAATCTCTTTCCAATCATGAGAAAACACTAGACAAATTTAAACTGGGGGACATTCAACAAAATAACTGATCAGTAAGCTTCAAAAGTATCAAGCTTATGAAAGACAAACACTGAGGATCCGTCACATCTCAGTAGACTAAGTGAGAAATAACAATCTAATACAGTGTAGGATCCTAGATAGGATCCTGAAACAGAAGAAAAGACGTTAGTGGAAAAACTGGTGAAACATAAAGAAGGTCTGTAGTTTAGTTAACAGGTTAATACCAATGTTAATTTCCTGATTATCACCATTGTATTACGGTTGTATAAGATAATATTTCAGAAAGCTGGATGGGAGGTATATGGGAACCCTTAGTATTACTTTTGCAACTTTTCTTCAAGTCTAAAATTCAAAATAAATGTTTTAAGAAAGTAAACCCATATGTACTTAAGCTACTTACTATTAGTCAGATATGATGTGTAGCCAAAGGTAATCCTAATCAATGAATTTAGCTTAGAAATCATTCAAAAGAAAAAATACTTTGCTTTTCCAATATAGACAAGGGTTTCCTCTTGTGATATGAGGAAAAAGAATGTGAAACTTACCTAAAATTGCAGAGAGGTTTGAAAACTCTAGTGCCTTCTGTATCGGTACTGCTTTACTGGTGTCCAAAAGAGTGGAATTCTTACATAGCAAGTTTTCTTCCAACATGGGACACTCCCAATCTAAAAAAGCAGGGAGAAATGGCACAAAATTTTGAGCAGCACACAAGTGGCAGATTACGTTTTTCTCCTCAACTTAGGTCCCCAGCCCATAACAAGCTATGGTAGTTGAAGGAAGTTTGGGTGAGACAGAGAAAAAAAGACAAGCCTTGGCGGCATCAGGATATTAAATAATCTTTGGGCTTTTGCAGTCCCCTAACACTCTTATTTCCTTTTACCCACCTTTCCCATTGTCCTCATACTATTATATCACATATTTAGTTAGGCCAATATTCAATATAGACATAATGATGATAAATTGCCATAAAAATCTTAGTTTTTACTCTTGTGGTATATACCATGACCACCTTTTGTTTTTCCTGGAGTCAATAAAAGTCTTGTTTGTTTAGTTTTCTCTGTATTTTTCATCTATTGAATCCTAAACTCTACCAAATTGTATAAATCCATTCTGTTTATTCCAGCCTCAGATGTTCTGAAATTTCATAATGTTTTGTCTTGGTGTTTTTCATCTATTGTGCTAGGCACAGTATGGCCCTTTTAACCCAGAAATCATATTCTTTAGCTCTAGAAAGTGTTCTGGAATTGTATCTTTGATAATTTTCTTCCTTCTGTTTATTTCATTATCTTTTTCTGGAACTCCTATTATTTGATATTAGATTTCATATATTGCTTCTCTAACTTACTTTTTTCTCCATTTTTTGTGTTTTCCTTTTTTTTTTTCCTGGAAATCTCAACTTATCTTCTAATCCTTCTATTGAGTTTTCCATTCTGCTACTGCATTTAATTTGTTTTCTGAATATTCACCCCTGCTTTTTTTCCCACAGCATCCTATTCCTATTCAATGGATGCAATATACATTTTTTTATCTCAGTGAAGGGTTTTTTTCCAGTATCTTCCTTGTATTCCTATTTCTGCTTGGTTTCTTCTCTTATTTTTAATTTTATTATGGTGGGAACACTTAAATAAGACATACCCTCAAATTTGTAAGAGTGCAATAGAGTATTGTTAACTGTAGGCACAGTGCTGTGCAGCAGATTTCTAGAACTTATTCATCTTGCATAACTGAAATTATACCTGTTGAATAGCAAATCCCCACACCCCTTTCTTCCAGGGCCCTGGTAACCAACATTCTACTCTCTACTTCTATGAATTTGACTTCTTTAGATATCTCATACAGGTGGAATTATATAGTATTTTTCTTCCTGTGACTGGCTTATTTCACTTACCATAGTGTCCTCAAAGTTCTTCTATAGTGTTGCATATAGCAAGATATCCTTCCTTTTTTTTTTAACATCTTTACTGGAGTATAATTGCTTTACAATGGTGTGTTAGTTTCTGCTTTATAACAAAGTGAATCAGCTATACATATATCCTGATATTCCTTCTTTTTTTAAGGCTGAATAATATTCCATTGTATGCATATACCGTATTTTCTTCCTCCATTCATCCCTCAATGGTCACTTAGGTTGTTTCCACATTGGGTTATTGTGAAAAATGCTGCAATGAACACGGGAGTGCAAATATATCTTCTAGGTCCTGACTGCAATTAGTTTGAATAAACACCCAGAAGTGGGATTGGTGGATCATATATTGTAGTTCTACTTCTAATTTTTTGAGTAACTGCCATATGGTGCTCCATTGCAGCTTCACTATTTTACATTCCCATCAACAGTGCAGAAGGGCATCCAATTTCTCCATACCCTTGCCAACACTTCTTTTTTAAAAAATAATAACCATCCTAAGAGTTGTGAGGTGATATCTCACTATGGTCTTGATTTGCATTTCCCTAATGGTTAGTGATCTTTTCATATACCTATTGGCAATGTGAATGTCTTCTTTAGGGGAAATGTCTATTCAAGTTCTTTGCATTTTTTAATCAGGTTATTTGGATTTTTTTTCCTTTTGAATTGTGGGAGTTTCCAATATATTTTGGATATTAATCCCTTATCAGATATGTGGTTTGCAAATATTTTCTCCTTTTTTACAGGTTGCCTTTTCACCCTGTTGATTGTTTCTTCTTCTGTGCAGAAGCTTTTTAGCTTTATCAAGTCTCACTTGTCTAATTTTGCTTTTGTTGCCTATGCTTTTGGTGTCACATAAAGAAATAACTGCCAAGACCAACTGCCATGAAGATTTTCCCCTATGTTTTCTTCTAGGAGTTTTACAGTTGCTGTTCTCACGTTTAAGTCCTTACTACATTTTGAGTTGACTTTTCTGTATGATATAAGGTAAGGGTCCAATTTCATTCTTTTGTACCTAGATATCCAGTTTTGCCAACATCATTTGTTGAAGAGACTATTTCTCCCACATTGTGTATTCTTGGCACTCTTGTGAAAGATTAGGTGACCATGTATTTATGGATTTAGTTTTGGGCCCTATATTCTGTCCTACTGGTCTATATGTCTGTATTGCCAGTACTATAATGTTATATTTACTGTAGCTTTGCAATATATTGATACTTTGAAATCAGTTAAGTGTTGATTTTCTGTCCAAATGTTCTATCCATTATTACAAGTGGGGGTACTGAAGTCTCCTACTATGATTGTATTGATGCCTATTCCTACCTTCATTTCTGTCAGTGTTTGCCTCATACGTTAGGTGTTCTGATGTTGGGTGAATATTTATTCATAATTGTTATGCGTTCCTGATGAACTGACCCTTATATAATTATATAACATCCTTCTTTGTCTCTTATAATAGTTATTGACTTAAAGTCTATTTTTATCTGATATAAGTATAGCCCCTCCTGCTCTCTTTTGGTCACCATTTGCATGCAGTATCTTTCCCCACCCATTTACTTTCAGTCCATGTGTGTCCTTAAATCTAAAATGAGTCTTTTGTAGACAGCATACGGCTGGATTTTTTTTCAATCTATTCAGCCACTCTTTGTCTTTTGATTGGGTTTAATCCATTTATAGTTACAGTAATTATTGATAGAGAAGGACTATTACAATTTTGTTGTTTTCTGTTTTGTACTTCTTTTGCCTCTTTCCTCTTTTGCCATGTTCCTTTGTCTTTCACTGATTCTTTTATGTTGATATGCTTTGACTCCTTTCTATTTTTCTTTTGTGTCTCCTCTATAGGTATTTTTTGTGTGTGTGGTTACCATGGGGCTTACACAAAACATAGTTTAAACCGTCTACTTTAAGCTGATAACAATTTAACAAAAACTCTACACTTTTACTTCACCCCTCAAACACACTTTGCAATACGGATGTTACAATTTACATCCTTTTACATGGTGTATCCATTAACATATTTTTATAGTTATATTTAATACTTTTGTCATTTAACTTTTATACTAGAATTAAGTGATTTATATGTCACTGTTATAGTATTAGTATATTTGTCTATATACTTACCAGTGAGTTTTATACTTTCATATGCTTTTATGTTGCTGTTTTAGAGTCCTTTGTTTCAACTTGAAAAACTCCCTCTAGCATTTCTTGTAAGGCAGGTCTAGTGATGATTAACTCCTTCAGCTTTTGTTTGTCTGGAAAATTCCTTATCTTCTCTTCATTTCTTAAGGACAGCTTTGCTGGTTAGAGTATTGTTGGTTGACAGTTTTTTTCTTTCAACACTTTGTCTATAAAATTCCACTCCCTTCTTGCCTGCAAGGTTTCTCCTGAGAAATCAGCTGATAGTCTAATGGGGTCCCCTTGTACATATCAAGTCACTTTTTTAGTTGCTGCTTTCAAAATTCTCTTTTTGTCTTTGACTTTTGACAATTTGATTATGTGCACCCATGTGAATTTCTTTGATTCATCTTATTTGAGGTTTGTTGGGGTTCCTAGGTCTGGATGTAGATTTCCTTCCCCAGACTTAGGAAGTTTTCAGCCACCATTTCTGTGAAAAAGCCTTCTGGCCCTTTCTCT